CTCAGGCCCTGACAATCCACCTTACCATTGCCCTTACTCAAAGTAAACGCCTGACTACAGTGCCAGAACAGCGGAGCCTCTGAGTGCAGCCTAATACTCGCCAGTATATACATCAGGCAATACTTGGTCGTTTCAAAGTTCCACTCCTGCTCTACTCTGCCTGCGAAAGTCACCTGGCCAGAACGTCATGCGCCATATGCCTGCTGGGAATGACCATTCAGGTGGCGTCTTCCTCAGCTTCACTCTCTTAAAGGCGCCAGAAATGCGACCAAAGTCTTCCTTAGCCTCACTCATTGCCTCACTCATATCCGTCTCCCGCGGTTCTCTCGTTAGTCTGGCATCCAGCTCCTCATCGTACGTTGCATCATATGTTGCCACGCCACCCTCAGGACCTGAGCTCTCGAGATACTTGCGCCACGTCTCAGAATCCAGGAAGGTGCGAGGAGCAGAGTGCAGTCTGAGCTCTGGCCCTAGCGCTTTGCCGCTGAGCCGCCTGGACGCATCCCAGGCCGAAAAAAAACGATCATTCCAGGCATCCTCCAGCTCGGCCACACGGAGGCCAATTAAACAGTTTCTATCTTTCCGCACCCGTCACCGAACCTCCCGATCCACCCGGCGACACAGAACGATATGCTTCGCTAGCATACTCGGGCCCAGAAACGAATTTGAAAAACAGCGACGCACCCCAGCAAGGAGACCCGCGGCAACATGTGGGAGGAAGACAAGGAGCCACAAGGGATCACAGCCCCAAGGAGGAGGAAGGAAGGGCGGAGGGGGCCTCTGCTTCAGGCGTCGCAGTTCACTCCGCAAGCAAACACGCTCGGCCAAAGCCGCAGACGTTGCCTCAGGTCGATCCAAGTGCTTGGGTTGCACGCCAACAAATTCCCGAGCAATCGGGTTTATTACATTGTGAACGCGCGGGGTAAAAAACAATGCCAGCACATTGCCTCACTGGCTCCTCACTCTCGAACCCCACTGGTCCTAGCCCTCGGGAAACCGCTTCTAAAAATTCACGCCTTCGAACCCCATGGAGCACCGCACGGTTGAGTTTGTTGTGGTCCCAGCGAAACGAACCTTCATCGGGGAAAAATGGCCCCAGTTCTAACTGCGAGACTAGAGGGTAGTGGTCACGGCGAGTCAACGCATTGATCAACTGCATGGCCTCCCCCGCTCGCTCCCAAACTCCACATTTGCGAGCTTTACTCAGTACTGCTTTTGTCGTACATATATAGTCAACCCGCGCCGTGCTAGAACCATTCCCATGGGAAAACGTGGGCCCACACACACATAATACGTATTCACAGCGCACAAGTAATGAGCTTCTAGCGTTTCCCGAAAGTACAGACCATTCGTGTTCTCATAGTCCACTTCACATGATCCCAGACTCTCACTTGCCACACTCCCCACACGAGCATTCGCATCTAGCATCAACAAAGGAACAGTTCTACTCGGAAGCTCGTCCAGCAATGAGTTAAGTCTACTCCAGAACTTCTCGCACCCACGAAGAGCAGCAGCACGTCCCGCACCCCCAGGAGGCTCCACTGGCGCATACGCAACAATAAACGTAATATCGCTTGATGCTGACTTACATCTCACTGCCCCCAGTCGACCTGCCAACTCTCCCTCACAGTGCCGAACCCTACGAATCTGCTTCCCATCAAAAAGGCAATCTCTGATCAAGAGTGAGCACCCCGTCGGACGACCTGTAGATCCCGAACTTCTGCCCCACTGAAACCGATGATACTTCCCAAGACGGTCCTGTACACACGGCAATGCTGCACCACACTGTGTGCCAGCGAAAGCAATTGCCTGACAGCTACGTAGTTGCTTCCGAACGTCACGCCGCCTGCCAGCCTGTCGCATCGACAACGGATTCCACATGCAGCATCGAACTAGTACCATGGCCGCCCGAGGCACACGCCGCCTGATGAGGGGGCGTGTCGAGGCAGGTGCAAGGACTGGCGGCGCGAATCGCCCCCTCTGTGGGTCGCGATCTGGGCCGTGGGGGCTACCTCGCAGAGGAGGAGGAGGAGGAGGAGGAGGAAGGGGAGGAGGAGTGAGGAGGAGGTGACGCGGGGCGCTGTCTTTTCAAAGCGAGGACCAAACACCACAGGATGGTTTGGAAATAACACGCACGACGCCGACAAGTGCACGGGGAATGGACGTCCGAGCCTGTGATATCGATCTTTAAGGCCCCCGGCAGGCGGTGGATGTGCATGCATTCGGGCCTTTGTGGGTCCAAATGAATCCAGATCCACCGCCTGCCGCGGTCCCCGATGATCGATCCAGCAGGCGGTGGCCACTACTTAGGCGTAACGATAGTTTCCTTGGAATCACGGAAGACCTCCAGACGACCCAGACAGGATGATTGGGCGGCCCCGAGGTGGCCGAGGCATTCCCAGAGTACAACACCATGATTATAATATAATTTTGATATGATTTCAAGGTGACCTCGAGATCACCCGAACACGTCATACATCTGGCGAGATTGGGTCTCACCGCGGGATTTCTCCGGACCCTTTTTTGGCATGGGTGGGATTTATGGTTGGCTGGACTAAATCTGGACTAACACAAAAAGGGGAACTACTCGCCAAGGATTCCGCCGAGACCACGCAATAGGGCTATCTTGCTAGGCTTCTAGGGGGGAGAGGGTTCAACGCATCCTGCCCCTCAACCCCGTCGGGGCCGTTGCCAAGAGGGGCGCAACGTAGGCGAGCACGCGCTGACATCGGGCCCAACTCAGGAAACCCAAGGAACGTTCGGAGCGGCGATGCGCAGTTTTTCATTCGCAAGGCGAGAGCAAGGCAACATCAAAGCGGCAGCATGGAGAGTCCAGTTGCACCTCGGAGGTCAACCTTGAGCCGAAAGCATACGGAGTGCGGCAGGCGCGATCAGGCTGCGTAGTTTTTCATTCGCAAGGCGACAGCAAGGCGACTGTCTCGGTTATCGATGGTCTTGCCGTGGAAGGCGTGGCGTTCCCACACCAAACATCGATGGACGTCCTGGGGTCTCAGGGTTGGGTTTCTTGTGGAGGGTTTCTTGTGGTCGAGCTCCTACTGCAGTTGTTGCTGCCAGAGCGGAGGGATTACATCATTGCTGATGTCTTTCCAGGGATCGGTGCTGGCCCGCTTTGCGGCGCTGGTGGTGTTTCTACGCGCAGCTATCGTGCACACCCAACGGCGAGTCAGCGTTACCCCCCGATGGCATTGCTCCGTCGGCTTGGGCACGTGTCCTCTCTTCTGTTCTTTTCGAGTGTGAGCGGTGCGCGGCCAGACACACGGGGCCCGCAGGCCTGGTCTTCAAGGCCTCGTCAAGAGAGGACCGATGTGTGCTCCTGTGATCGGCCACATGCTGGCTGTCGCAATATCTACACACATATATATATACATATATATATATATCGCCTCACCCAGCGTGGGATGTGCATGCAATATCATACGCCCAGCCGTTTCGTGTGGCCTTCCGTTGTCATGTGCAGGCGCCAGGTGGATGCGCCCTAGCCCGTGAAACAACGCCCCCAAGAAAGCGTTGTGATTGGCCCACGAGAGCCCAGGGGACCTCAAGACGCCCAAATATTTGATTGTAGTGTTCCCACCTTTTCGGATGTCCAACGCTCCAAGGCGCCCCAATGTATGCAAGGTCGCCCAAGATGGCCCCAGAATACGCCCAAGAAGCCCCCACGACCCAGGATAGCTTCCAAGACACCTCATGCGCGCCCAAGAGCTTCCGAAGAGGCCCCCAAGGGGGCAGAGACCCCCTGAGTGGGCGCAATCGTCCACTCTGCTGGAGGGGAAACGTGGCCGACCAGCATAACAAGAATCGTGATGGCAGGCAAGTGGGGTCGAACTACGAAGGCGGACGTAGGCAGGACGACTTCGCCACGCGGTCGATGGATTGACCTGTGCTTGCTTCTCTTTTGGAGACGCTGTCTGGGCCAGGCGTGCACGTTTCGCGGTCGACCTCGGGTGCATATGCTTCTGCGGGCGCTGGATTCTGTAGAGATCTTTGGATCACCCCAAGAGGACCCCTACTTTTCCCTGCTGGGCCCCAAGGCAGGCTTGGGAGGGCCAAGCAAAGCCCCACGAAGGAGACGCGTAAATGGGAGGAGGCGGCGGAGAAATACGAGGACGACGACAACGACACAGCTTTGGCGATGAAGGAGGAGGTTTGTTCAGTGCCCGCGCCGTCCGCGCTCTTGCGGCTTCACCAGGCCATCTTCCATATACATATGGAAGTCTCCTTGTGTGGAATTGTGGGATACTACGAACACTTGGACTTGCTGACGCCTAAGAGCTTCAAGCGCGCGCGTTGTTCTATTTCTTATATCTGCGGGTAACTCAATGTTTTCGCTCATTGGTTCTAGCGGCTGGGGCTCGAAGCCGGGCTCTGAACCCCCCAGATTGAGAAACGCCCCCATTCTTGAATCCCTGAGTTCCGATGTCGCGACACAATGAAACATTGCCGGCAATTGCGACCGGAGCGCTTGACTCGATCTGTCTGCTCTTATTTTTCGAGCCAGGTCGATCTGTGAGGGTCCAAGCCAGGGGAAAACGCTCTGCTCGAAAAAAGTGAGTCGCGAGGATCTCAGGGTTTGTTCCCTTTGAAGGCCTGACGTAAGACGTAAGGCCGGGTTCGGGATGCGATCGCGGGCAGTCCCTGTCTCGCACAGGAAGTCGGGGCAAGGGGGATTTCTCCCCCAGTCGCCGCGCTCATGGGAGATTCCCCGATCGCGTGCGCACCCCTGCATCGGGGTGCAGCTCCGTGAACGTTGCATTCGGCCTCGGCGCTGGTATCTCCGTGGTGGGAAACCTAGCTAATCGTACATTGTTCTTTGCTGCTGTTCTGTTCAACCTGGCCTCAGCGAGCTCAATCCAGGGCCTCACCCGGGCTGATGGCACTGAGGTAGCCCTTACTTGCGCTTGGGAAGGCCTCTCAGGATTTGTCTCCTACCTGCATCTGGCTCCCCCGCTGGGCCTCGCGCGGTGCTGCCTCGGCGCCAGGAGGAGGTGGACGACGATCCGTACATCCCAGAGGAGCGCCCCCCCGCCAGTTAGGCTGCCTTCACATCCTCGCGTCGTGGAACAACCACGACAGAGTGGGCCCCGGGAGCATCAAGGAACAAGTCGCGATGAAAAGCCGGTCCCCCGGAAGGGAAGTGTTCCACACATGTGTTTACATCGGCGTGGGGATTGTTGATGGGGTGGGGGGGGCATCAGTGGATGCTAAGGTGTGTCATATCTGGCCTGACCTAGCTTACAAGCGGGTTACAAGTGCCCTGAATGCCCTGGGCGGGGTTAGATAAGTCCATTGGCGGGGCCCATCTAAATAGCCCGGATCGTCCCCCCCAAGCCGCGCATGGCATTTGTCACCCACTTCACAGCAAGGTTAGGCCAGAGATCTGAAGAGCTTCGCCCTCTGACGACGGTCCTCCTTCAGATTGACTGCATGGCCACGCTGGATCGGCAGGGTTGGTTAGATGCCTTGTCGGTTGCCTGGCTGGCAACTCGGCTGCGGAGGGGCAGCAGAGTGGATATTCGCCGCAGATTTAGATTAGACTTCGCCATCCCTGTGGGGCTACGATCTACGAAACTATCGCCACTTTGGGGGGCAGCCTCGTTGGTACTCGCCGCAGATTCAAATTAGATCTCGCCATCCCTGGGAGGCTGCGATCTACGAAACCGTCGCCACTTTCGAGGGATGCTGTCGGGGGGGAGCATAGTGGGTACCCGCCGCAGATGAAGATAAGACCTCGCCATCCTTGGTGGGCTTCGATCTGCAATACTTTCGCCACTTTCAAGGGCGGTTGGATTGGGCCAGCAAAGTGGTTACTCGCCGCCGATTCAGATGAGAATTCGCCATCCCTGGGCGGTTTCGGTCTGCAAAGCTGTCGCCATTTCCAAGGGCAGTTGGGGGGGCCATCAAAGTGGGCACTCGTCGCAGATTAAGATTAGACCTCGGCATCCCTGCGGGGGTTGCGATCTGCCAACTTGTCGATTCTCCGAGGGCTGCTGGGAGAGCAAGCATCGTGGGTAGCCGCTGCATATAAAGATTTCGCCATCGATGGGGGGCTGCGATTTGCGAAGCTGTCGCCACTTTCGAGGGTTTCTGGGCGGGACAGCATAGCGGGTACCGGCCGCAGTCTTAGACCTTGCCATTCTTGGGGGGTTGTGCGGAGATTCGCCGAAAATTTCACATTTGACCTCACCATCTCGGAGGGGCTGCGATCTGGGAAACTGTCGCCACTTTCGAGGGATGCTGGGGGTGCAGCGTAGTGGGTGCTCGCAGCAAATTCAGATTAGACCTTGTTGCCATCCCTGGGAGACTGCGATCTGCGAAACCGTCGGCGCTTTCGAGTGATGCTGGGGCCGGGCAGCAGAGTGGGCACTCGCCGCGTATTAATATTAGATCTCGTCATTCTTGTGGTGCTGCGATCTGCGAAACTGTCGGCACTTTTGAGGGTTGGTGGGGGGACATCACAGTGGGCACTCGCCGCTAAGTCAGAGTCAACCTCGCCCTCCCTGGGTGGTTTCGGTCTGCAAAACTGTCGCCGCTTTCGAGGGATGCTGCGGGGGGGCAGCATAGTGCGCACTCGCCGCAGATTCAGACTGGTCCCCGCCACCCTTTATGGGGCTGCGATCTGCGAAACCGTGACCACTTCCGAGGGATGTTGGAGGGGTCAGCGTAGTGGGCACTCGCCGCAGATGAAGATAAGGCCTCGCCATCAATTTGGGTTCGCGATCTGCGAAGCTAGCGCTACTTTCGAGGGATGCTGGGGGGCCAGCATAGTGGGCACTCGCAGCATATTCATACTTCGCCATCCATGTGGGGGTGCTGCGATCTGCGAAACTGTCACCGCTTTGGGGGCTGCTGGGGGGGCAGGCAGTATATATAGTGGGCATTCGCCGCAGATACAGGCTAGACCTCGCCATCCCTTAAGGGTTGCGACTGGCCAATCTGTCGCCACCTTCGAGGGCTGCTGTGGGGTCCGCCAGGCCCGCATATTCTTCCATATCTTCGCTTGAGGTCGCGGCCAGGTCCGCGAGCTTCGTGGCCAGGTCCACTGAGAGCTGGCAGGGCAGCTTGGCCTCGCGCAGTTCTTGCACGAATTCTAGCCGAGTGTTGGTTTTCTTCGGAACGTAGTCTCCCTTCTTCCTCTGCCCTTCTCTCGTCGTCACTTCATTCCTTCCTGTTGCCGTGCCCTGCCTGCCTTAGTCCTCGCCCCTCTTCCTTTCGGACCCAGTGACCTGACTAGTTCCTTCTATCAAGCTCGTGTCCGCTGATCCGTGCCCTGCGAGTCGCGCGCTTCGCGGGCCTCCCAAGCGGCGTTCGCGCGCAAACACACACACAACCCCCCCACACACACACACACACACACACACACACACACACACACACACACACACACACACACACACACACACACACACACACACACACACACACACACACACACACACACACACACACACACACACACACACACACACACACACACACACACACACACACACACACACACACACACACACACACACACACACACACACACACACACACACACACACACACACACACACACACGCACGCACGCACGCACGCACGCACGCACGCACGCACGCACGCACGCACGCACGCACGCACGCACGCACGCACGCACGCACGCACGCACACGCGCATGCACACGCGCACGCGCACGCGCACGCGCACGCGCACGCGCACGCGCACGCGCACGCGCACGCGTACGCGCGCGCGCGCACGCACGCACGCACGCACGCACGCACGCACACACACACACACACTCACACACACCATCCCTGTTGCGTGGCTGAGGTGGGCTTCCGCGGTGGGGATTATTGTTGTTTGTTGTTGTCGACGTCTTGTTATTCCAACGCGGGGCCCCCAGAGCTATAAACACCTTTCCCGGGGAGTGTCTTCTGACGGCCTCGGGGTCCGGCGAGGGCCCCAGACGCCGAAAACGGCGACGTTGTTCCCGTCGTGATTTCGCACGCCTCGAGTACGTTTGGGTTCGACGCCACCGCGCGGTCTGTCACCGCACCGCCCTAGAGGCCCTCGGTGCCCTCCCGGGGCCTTCCTTTTCGCCCCCCGCCCCTCCCCCGTGGGCGTGTCTGCGGTTGGCGCAGGAGCCGACCTCCAGTGCGGGGCCGTTCAAGCCGCTGCACGGCAAGGACACGGAGGAGGCGTTGGCGCTGGAGGACCCCGCTCTGCGAGGGAGGAGCAGCAGGAGGAGGAGGAGGAGGAGGAAGAGGAGGAAGGACTCTGAGATCCGAGCGTTGCAATTGTTCTCGCAGCCATGGGCACAAGAGACTGGGATCCGTGCAAAGGGGGGTCAGCCAGCGCGCCGGGTGTTGCAGGATCCTGCAGCGCCAGGGCTGCATTGACCCAGGCTTGCGTGCAGGATCTTGCAGGATCCTGCAAAGCCTGATTGGCCCGGGCTTGCATTGACCCGGGTCAGTGCGTTCCCGAGCAACGGGCGATTTTGCCTTGTTTCGGGCCCCGGGATCATCATGGATCGATGATGGGGTCTGCTGTTGGTAGCGATTTGTTTGCGACGTTGTATTTTCCGCGATAGCGGATTTGAGGGGGGAATAAGAATGGAGGAGAGGAACCTAGATCTCCGACGTGAGGTTATCTCGATTTGGGGGCGTTGTTTCTCGATTCTGGGGCCGTTCGTGGGCCCCGGGGCCATCAGACATGGATGTGGGACGAAAAATTACCCCCGGGGTCAGAACCTCCGGGGCCGCGGATTGAAATAATCGTGGCGGCGGCTGTCAGGGAGGAAGGAGAAGGAGGAGGAGGAAGGAGCAGAGGCTGGAGGAGGAGAGAGACGAGGAGAGGAAGAAGGTAGGAGGAGAAGGAGGCAGGGGGATGGACCAATACAAAGGGAAAGAAGAAGAGGAGGGTGGGAGGCGAGACAGGAGGGAGGAGGAGGGAGTGAAGGGAGGAGGGCTCATCCTCCTCCCCACCCTCTACAGACCTCAGGAACTATAGCGAGAGGAAGACTGAGGAGGACAAGGAGAAATACGAGGAGGGCTAGGAGCAGGCAAGATCGCTGGCGGTTTTCCACGAGGACTAGGTTGGTGGAGCGTGGCTCGGTGCCCGGTGCTCGGGCGACTGGAGCCTTGATTGGGCCTTTAGTGGGGTTTCTCCCACCAGGGCTGGACCTGTGTCGGAATTCTACCCAGAACGCACCAGCGGGAGAGGTCCAGGGGTCGATGTGCAGGGCGAGCGGTGGGAGCCAGGATGGAGGTAAGTGCCTCTAGACCGTCTCCCAGCGCTCTCAGGGAGTTGCGGGCCGCTCTGGGGCGGCCGCGGCGCCCGCTGTACGTCCTCCCGACCCGTTGGCTCTCAGAGATGTCCGGTCTGTCCTCAATTGGGAGCACGTGCAGTGGAGGCCCATGCCAAGAAACCCTGCTTGCCTCCAGGGTGCCCTGGCTTTCTTGGGTTTCGATGGTTTGTCGATGGAAAGCGTGACGTTCTCACACTGAAAACCGGTGGGAGCCCTGGGGTCTCAGGGTTGGGTTTGTTGGTGGGAGGTTTTTTTTGGACTGGCCCCCACTGTATTGCTCATCTTGGCTTCGTCTTCGGGAGGGCTTCACTGTTCTTCTTCGGGCGTGACGCTTGGGAGAAAACGCCACCGACCACTGTAAGCCATCTCGGGTCGAGGAGCATACCCCTCTTTTCAACGCCTGCATTCTTGAGCCTGGTGACCGGAGACCCCGGTCGGGCCTTAGAGCCTTAGGGGCTCAAGAAACAAACACATGTTTGTCACCAGAGTCTGGCAAGGCCTTTGCGTCACATGGTGTATAGCGCTGGGCTTCATGTAGCGCTGGGCTGAAAAAGCGAACTACGAGCTTTTGACTCTCGTGATCTCCAGCCTTCTTTCAGGGACTCGCTAGGGCGCCTCGCTGCCTCGTCCATGCAGCAATCGAATTTGCCAGAATCTGATCAAAGAGGTTCCAACCTTGGATGAAGCATCGGCTCAATGGCCACGTGTCCAAATGCCTGCGGCAAGTTCCGCCGCCGTGCCAGCCCAGCATTCTGGGTGGCGACTTGTTCGAGAGGGAATTGGAGCCGTATTGTGCGACACATTGTGTATTAGGCTTGGGGGATCCGTAAGATGTGGCACGCTCATCCGCGTAGTGTCGTTGTGTCTCTCCTCGTCCTCGGCGTTGGGGCCGACTTGAAGCTGTCTTGGATGATTATTGGGGAACCGTCTTGAGGCCATCCGAGAGGCCTCGAGTTCGGGGGTGGACAGAGCCCCCACCCTGACACGTCGATTAGTGAATTGTCAGTTTTCGGTTCTCGAGAGGGCGCCGCGGCCGTCATTTTCCAGGCTTGCGCCCACCAGGTTTGGGCCCGAGGGCGTTTTCACTAAACCACGATTTCCTCAAGGGGGTTCTGTCCATCCCCGACTAGTGCAGTCTGGAGCTGAAGGACGCCCGAACATGTGAATACGTCAACGTGCTCCAAAACGTCAAGGAACACATACGGTATTGGTTCTTCGGGCCCTGCTGGGGTCCTCGCGTTCTCGATGCAACCCTGGGAGGTGAACTTCTGCATCTGCGCTGGTATAGACGTGGTCGAACACCAGCCTAATCCTGAATAGTCCTGCCCGCCTAGCCCGGCTCAGTCCCGCTTGATTCGGCTTAATCTTCCGCCGGCGGTGCCTTTGGGTCTAATCCGGCCGAGTGGCCCTTGTCTCGCGCTTCTGATAGCGGCGATTACCGTTCTTGCGAATGCATCATTGGAGATGCTCCCTTTAATCGTGGCCTCCAGGGTTGTTGTGGGGGCATCTTGTCGAAGAAGAGTTTCGGAGGTCGGAGTTCCGCGCGGATTCCGCGCGGAATGTTTCGGATCCGGAGTTTCGGAGTTCGGCGTGGATTTCTCAGAGTTCCGCGCGGATTTCTCGGATCGGCGCGAGCTCTTTTGGTGCCACCCTTGGTGCGTTCCGCGCGCCAGAAAGGAGGGTCAGCGCCGATCCAAGAAAAGCGCCGATCCAAGAAATCCGCGCGGACATCCGAATGTCTGTGTGTTACGTGATTCTTTCCAGGCCTTTCAGATGGGGTCCGAGCAATTGGATGTGGTCGGAGGATCCGGCCGCATCGCCGATGCATCGGCGATGCGGCTCGAGGTGGAGCCTGATCTTCTTGACGCCGACGTCGCCGATGCACCGACGACGTCGCCATCGCCGATGCACCGCCGATGCATCGCCGATGCATCGCCGATGCATCGCCGATGCGGCGCGATCCTCCGACCCCATCTACTCGGACCCCGTCTAGGAGGCCTCCATTCTTGGGGGCCTGTGGGGGCCGCCTTGAGGCCAGCGCCGACGGACGGCGGCGTCACCGACTGCGGCGGGCGGCCCACCCCCCGCGGCGGCGCCCGAGGCAGAGGCGCTGTCCTACATCCGGGAGCGCGGACCGGTGGACATCGGGGCGCTGCGATCGGTGCCTCCCCGCCGCGCGCCGGGCCAGACCTCCAACTTCAACGGGCAAAGGGGGCGGCGGCCTGGCCAGCATGGCAGCGTCCGAGAGGGGAGTCTGGGCGCAAGGCTCGGGGGCACCGTCAGGGTCGATGTTTCGAGGTCTGAGATTTTTGTGCGTTTTCGTTGGAAGTTTTCGCGTGGGTCCCAGACATCAAGGCCTTCTGGATAGGGAGTAGATGGGGGCGGTGGGTCGCGCCGCATCGCCGACGCGTCGGCGATGCGGCTCGAGGTGGAGACCGTGTTTCCCTGGGCCGGCGTCGCCGATGCCCCGCCGACGTCGCCGATGCATCGTCGATGCATCTGCGTAGCATGGCCGATGTATTGGCGATGCGGCGCGATCCTCCAACTCCATCTGCTCTGACTACATCTAGGAGGCCTCTGGCCTCCCCGCCGCGCGCCGGGCCAGACCTCCAACGTGTGGGTCCCAGACATCGGGGGTTGCCAAAGGTGCCCCTCGTGGGCAACGATATTAGGGGACGGGCATAGGGGGGATGCATCGACCCCGGATCGCCCACTGATCGCCGCTAGGGGCCCGAAGGCCGCACCCCGCCCAGGGAGGTTCGGATTCACTATCGGGGGCCTATCGCCGATCTATCGACGATGTATCGCCGATTACAGGCCGATGAATCCCCCCTAGTTGAACCTCAGCCCCTAGCCCAAGGTGCCCCCACCTTGATTTCAATGTCGGGGTCCCTGGGTCCCTCTGGGCCTCGTAAGGGGTGCTCTGGAGGCCGCGGGGGCCTCCTTGGAAATCGTGGGGTCACCTTGGGCCAAGGGCACCTCTAGCAACACCCGAACGTGTGGATACTAGACACGCCCACGCTGCAAAGATTTTGGAATCCAGACATGCTTGCGTGTTGAACCCAGGCATGCTCCCGCTGGAGGTTTCCCGTACTTTGCGGCCTCTGGGGGGGGCACTGCCGGGCCCGCGGACCGTCAACAAATTACTCTGGAGGGATAGCCGGTCCAGGGGGAGGGGTCAAGACTTCCGGGGACCGCGCGTCGAAAAGATCAGGACACCGCCGCGCGCCGACCCATACCTCGAAGGAGGAAAGGTACGGATACTGCTACCTGGCCTCATTTTCGACTTTTTGGGGCTCCTGGAGGGCCCTCTGCGCCGCCGCCGGATTCGGGACGAAATCCTGGTCAGAACGCACACCAGGAGAGGTCCAGAGAGTAGCGGTATCGGTACGGTTTGGTTCGGGCTTGGGCCAGTGGCAGCACGATCGGGGGTGGCCGTCTGTCGGGCGAGGATAGATCCATTCCAGAGCCGCAGCACACGAGACATCTTCTAGAGCCGCCGGGTATTACATATTCTCTATGACTCTATGATTTTCTTTCGCCCGGCTTTATTATCACCCGACTTTATCAGCCTTCTATTCAATGCCATCATGGAAGACCTTTTCGGCGATGTCAAGACAACGTGGCTGAAGAAGCGGTGGGGCCTCAAAGTCGGTGAGACCAATCTGTGGCGTCTCACAAACCGGCGTTTCGCTGATGATGTCATGCTCATTGGTACTACGCTCAAGCAAATCAAGGGCATGCTTGCAGACATCCGCACGGCAGCCGGCAAGCGTGGATTGGAATTACATCCAGAAAAAAAAAAAAGGATTCTTTCGAACACTACCCGGGAGACGGGGCGCCCCAAGGAGCAGAGTGTCCAGATTGGCGAGATGCGCATTGACGTTGTTCCGCATGATTGTCACGTAAAGTATCTGGGCCGGAATGTCAGTTTCGACCGCCCGCACGAGACAGAACTTGACAACAGAATTGGCGCAGCTTGGAAAATATTTATGTCGCAACGTTCGTTTCTGACTGATCGCAGGTATTCGCCCAATTCGAGACTCCGTCTTTTCGATGGCACAGTATCCTCGATTGTTTTATATGGGAGCGAAACATGGGCGGTTACAAAGGACTTGGTAGACAAACTACGCAGAACGCAAAGGAAGATGCTGGGGATGATTTTGATGAGCAAGAGGCGCAGGACACCTTCCGAACAAGAAGATTCATTCGTCAGTGGACAATGTGGACGTGCCGGACATCGTAGAGGACGCTTTAGAGCCGTGGCCTGACTGGACCAAGTGCGCGACCCGTGAAGCAGAAGAGAGATTGGGCAGACTATCTCTTCGTGATTGGGTGGGCTCGCACAAGCAGGCGGTCGCGCGATGGCTTGACAGGTTACGAGAAGGCACAAACACATGGGCGCAGAAGATATTTACGTGGCACCCCGACCACATGACACGGATATCTGCGCGACCCATTAGGCGATGGGAGGACGCAGCTGTAGAATACGCACGCTAGCGATTACAGTACGCTGAGCTCGCTCATCGGGGCCTGAGGGCCCGCCGCGCTGCCCACTAGTGGGCCGTCCTTTGGACGTTCCGCGCGTGTCTGTTTGCCTGTATGTCTGTCTGTCCTGGCTTCATCCGCGTCTTGGCTTCCTCTCTTTTTGGTTTGCCCCATGTCTCTCGCGTGTTGAGCAGATCAGTCGAGAAAAAGGCATGGCGGCGTAGAGATATAATGTTCGGAACTCCCCACCGCACGCCGGCTGGGCCTTCTCAGGCGACGCTTCGCCCCCGAGTTGTCCCCGAGAATCTCAGGTCGCTCAGGAAGAGGGTAATGGGGCGTGACCTACGGGCCGGACGAAAGAGGGGGATTGGGAAAGGGGGGGGCCACGAAATTTGCTGCGCGCAGCTAGTTTCGGCTTCACCGGGAGGCCCATTCCTCGGCGCGCAGCCGCCTCCGGCGCCGGGGGGCGCCAGGAAAATCAGCTACGTGAGCTGATTCGCAAACCCCGCATTTGCTATCCCCCCTTTCGCCCGACCCGAACGGGCGCTGGAGAAGAGGGCCCTGGAAGGGGCCCTTCAGGGCTCCTTTCGCAGCCAGCAGGTGCCCAGAGAGGGCCCGAGAGTACCCCCTTTATGGGCCCTTTCTTCACCCCTCGTTTGGGCAACCCCCGTAGCACCGCCCGCCCGATTTTCAGGGGGCTGTCCGGTCATTCCCCAGTCGAGGATGGACGCCCCGAGTCGTGCATCCCAGAGTTGGGTCCAGAGGGTGCGCCCGGTCGAGAGACCCCGAGAAGTTGGGGAGCGGGGGCACTGCGATCGGTGCCTCCCCGCCGCGCGCCGACCCAGACCTCCAAGTTCAACGGGCAAATGGGACGGCGGCCTGGCCAACATGGCAGCGTCCGAGAGGGGGGTCTGGGCGCAAGGCTCGGGGGCACCGCCAGAGTCGATGTTTCGAGGTCTGAGATTGTCCCGCGTTTTCGTTGGAGTTTTCGTCGGACGTGTGCGTTTCGTCGGACGTTTTCGAACGCTTTCGCCGCGCGTCTTCGGACGTTTTCGGGCGTTGTCGTTTGGCGTTTTCCACTGTTCAAGGTTTTCATACGTATTCGTCGGTTCTCGGCTGCTTTCCAGTCAGCTGATTCCTTCCAGCGGTTGCTCCTCGCAGAGAGGCGTCCCGGGGATGCCCGGATCGTCCCCAACGGCCGCCGGAGAGCCGAGTGGCCCGAAAATTAGGGGCAGGGCGGCTCAGAGGGGACGCGTCCACCCCTCATCGCCCAGTCATATCCGGTAGGGGCCCGATGTACAGTCGGGGCCCTGAAGAAGGTACCCTTTTCGTTGGGGAGGGGCTCGGTCCTTGAAGGTTTCACAGCTTGCCTTAGGCTTTCCTTAGGTCTTCGATTGGGAACCGAATTTTAACTGATGGGAAAAGGGGCCTCGTTCCTTATTTAGCGTTCCTTAGGGCAACGCCCCCACTGTACCACACCCCGCCCAGGAACGCGCGATTTTTGTGACCGGGGGCACATCGCCAATCTATCGGCGATACACCGCCGATCCCAGCTCGATGTCCCCCCCCCTGAGCGCGCACTTTCCGAACGTTGCCCTGGTCAACTGAGGAAGAGAAGCCAGCGCCGACAAACGTTCGGAGCTCCGCGCGGATTTCTTGGAGGCGCGCTGGGCCCCTGGCAAGTTGCGCGCGCCAGGGAAGGGAACCCAGCCACGATCCAAGAAATCCGCGCGGAATTCCACAAGCTTGTTGGGCATGCGAATACTACTGGTCTCTCATCAGGGCGGAGGCTTTTTGGTGTTTCTGGCTTCTGGTAGGCATGGTTTCTGCCGACTATTAGCGCGCGTCGTTGCATGGAAGGTGGGAAGGGGGGTGGGCGTGGCGAGGTCCTCAAGAATATCTGGACATCACGAAAGCGGGGCGCATCTGGATGTATTCTTTTTTTTTTTTGATCCGCGGGTCGAGAGCGAGCCTCTTCCGATAGAAGCTAAGGGGGCCACGCGCAGCTTTAATCAGCAGAGGGGGGGCAACAGAAGGCGAAAATCTGGACATCACGAAAGCGGAGCACATCTGCATATACATCAAAGGAGAACATGACTGTCACGTGCACACCTTCGGGCCCAGCGCTTTCAGAAAAGGCGGCGGAAAAGGGGGAGGTGGGAGCGCAATGCCAAGCAAACTTGCCAGGAACTGATACCCAAAACGCGTTTCAACCCATACCTCTAACGTATTGAAAATGACAAGACGGAGGCTTGGGCCGTTTTCTGCCTCTGGGCCCTCGCTGGGCCCCAGGACTGTCGAACAAGTGCTCGGGATGAAGAGCCGGTCCTTGGGAAGGGGTTAAGATTATCTGGGACCCCGCTCTGGAAAAAAGAAGACATCATAATTCTGGGGGGGTACAAGGGCGTATACGAGGGGCGTCGAGGACTGCGGGGGCGCCGTTGTCGAAATGGGAAGATGCTTTCCAGCAGATGCCAGGACTTCTGAACCGAAAGCCAGTGGCCACAGTCAACCTGCATAGTAAGGAAGTGCGACTTTCCCAAGGGTGCCCTTGCATCCTGCCTCCACGGCCCATCCTTAGCGACTTTCGCTGGCCAGCCTCGTTCGAAAAAACGTAGAGACGACTCTCCAAGGCCCTTGCATCCTTACCGCGCACCCTTGTGATGCGGGTTG